CCAACGGTGCCATGTGCTATGGCTACTGCATAGCCAAGTCCTCCCCTTCCCCCAGCCTCTCCCTTGGAAATACACACACACACACCACGCACACATAATACAAAACAGTAGCCTGAATGGGTGGCTAAGGAGAGCCTGGCTCCCCCTCCCTCATCCTCCTGAGGGCCCCTCCCCCCAACACACACATCTAATACACCCTCCAAAAAAGACAGCTTGCTTCAAAAAGAAGACAGCCACTGACCCAGTAATAACCAGGTGAGCCCCTCACTTGTCAACTAACCTCAAATAAGACACAGTGGGGAAGAGTGCACAAAAGCTGCTTCCCAGCAGGCAGGCAGGATTAGTAAACAAAGAAACAGGGCAGCTGAATAGCAGTGACATCTAAGCTGGTATTTTTCACTTCCTTGAGGATACTCCCCCTGCTCATAAGTAAATGTGGTGCATGCAGGCCAGCTGGGGAAGGAAGGGGCCTAGAGGAACACAAACTCTTGGAGCTCTTAGGACCTCCAAGGTGATGATGGCCAACATCCTTTTCTCTCAGACAGGGAGCTGACCCCAAGATGGGGGGCAGGTGAATGGGAGTCACCCTCAGGACTCTGACCACGAGTCAGACCAGCACTGGGACTAGAATCCAAGTCTGCCGACTTCTAGTCTGACATCTTTCCTTTCATAGTTCATCTGAAACTCGTACCCAGCACCTACAGTGTACCGCACCACAGTGCTAGGAAATGAATCTTCAACCTATGCAAACCTTTTATTAACTGATCATTTTCCTGCATTCCACATTTTTAAAAGCAGGCCGCAAAGAAAGGCTAGCTTATGTTTAAGAATTTATGGTCTTGTCTTTTTTTTTTTTTCTAGTTTTTTTGCTACAGTTGGGGAACATCTCGAGGACAGTCTACATTCCTTCCAGTCTCATTTACTTCTACATCCCTGACCCAGAAGAGACTTCATGCTCCAAATCCCAGTCCGGGGACTTAGCCAGATTTTCAGCCATCAAACTAAGACTCTGTCTTGGTCATCACACTGTACTTTGCAAAAACTGAAAAAAAAAGTACACTGTAGAAATACAATGTATTCTGCGTAGCTATCAGTCAGAAAATTTTGTTGAATTAGGACTTTCTTTTCCCCATGCAGTGAATTGGGGTTTTGGTCTACTAACGCCAAAAGGGGTAGAAAGCTCTGGGTCTATTCACCCAACACTCTTGGCATTGGCCACAATTCAGTCCAGAAACAATGAGGCGACACTTGCTCCTCTGAACAATACTTCAAAACACATATTCTCCCAAGAAGTCACAGAGCAACTTCTGTGTCCCCCTTCCAACAAGATGCACATGAACATACTCTCCCCAGTTCAAAATTCATTCATGCCTAGGCCTTGAGTTGTCTGTAAAGATAACAAAGGAGGCAAGCAGGCAAGTCCTGAATTAACCCCCACAGCCCATAAAGATATCAACCAGTTAACAAGGCCAACTTATTGTGCAGAGTATTTTTTCTGTAATTTTTGGAGAGGGTTGGTGGGGGGGGTTGGTTTTGTTTGTTGTGGGTTTTTTTTTTTTTTGAGATAGAGCCTCATTTTGTCATCCTTGGTAGAGTGCCATGGCGTCATAGATCACAGCACCCACAGACTCATGGGCTCAAGTGATCCTCTTGCCTCAGCTTCCCAAATAACTGAGATTACAGGCACCCACCACAACCCACCATGCCTGGCTATTTTTTTTTTTAAGAGATGGGGTCCTGCTCTTGCTCAGGCTGGTCTCAAACTCCTGAACTCAAGCAATCCATCCACCTCAGCCTCCTAGAGTGCTAGGATTACAGGCGTGAGCCACTGGGCTTGCCTTGCACCCAGCCTCAGTATTTTTTTTAAGACAAGCTCTCCCCTCTGTTGCCCAGTTGGAGTGGAGTAGAATTAACCTAGCTCATTATAACCTCAAACTCCTGCACTCAAGCCATTCTCCCCACCTCAGACTCCTGAGTAGCAAGTAGCTGGGACTACAGGCATGCAGCACCACATCCAGCTAGTCTTTTTTTTTTTTTTTTTTTTTTGTAGATACAGGGTTTCATTATGTTTCCAAGGCTGGTCTCAAGTGATCCTCAAGGCCTGGCCTCCCAAAGTGCTGGGATTACAGGTGTGAGTAATTACTATGCCTGGCATCCTTCCTTAATTCTTTATAGGCTGAGCCAAACAAGTTAAGAGGAAGACAGAGGGCAAGGCAGAAGCATCTCCAACTTGTCCTCACTCTAAGAGGCTGATCTAGTGTCCCTAGGGGACAACACTGTCCAGGCTCTTCAACACAACCAGACTTTACCAAATGCACTCAGGTGCTACAGGCTTCAAAAAGACCCTTGGGAGAGGGTAAGGGATAGGGACAGAAAACAAGCCACAATCATTGCCTTCAAAATTCTCACAGCCACTGGCAGTGGAGACATCTGCAAGCACTGACTGGCTATCCCTGGATGCCATCAGCCTGTCACAATACCTCTAGTTGGATGGCTATGAACACACTAGGAAGACACTCCCTCTTCACCCTCAAAACACAGTGACAGGTCTTCCTTAACTGGTCTTTGATGTAATAGGGGCTTACAGAATCATGAAAGGACTGCCTACAGGAAACAGGACTTACGGACAAAATCATAGGATGTCTCCATACCAGAGGTCTTGGGAGCTGGAAAAAGGTCAATTTAGTACAACTGTCAGGGATGAATAAAGGAGGAAAGGGCATTGGACTAAAAATCCAGAGCCTGTTTCCTTCAGCAGCTCATCTTGTGTCCCTGGGCAAGGCATGTTCCCTCTGCAGTTTTATGGTTGGGGGGAGGGAAGATTAGATTAGTGGTGTTTATTATGGGTAAAGCCCATATATTTTTCCAGATTTTACTTTATCTAGGACCCTGATATATTAAAAAAGGGAAGATGCTTGTGCTGAATCCAGGTGGTGTTAATAATTCATAATCAATACGCTCATGTTGGATTTCTATAGCAAATGAGGGACTGGATGGGTGCTATCTCTGAACATCTGGAGTCGGGAATGGAAATAACCCCATAATGCACCACTCTCCCTTGGTGCATCTGAGGGCAACTCTCACGGTCATTCAAGTGATCTGAAGTCTCAGTTCTAGGAAGTGTAGTTGTTTTAGAAAGTAAGTCCCCGAGCCCCCCTCCTAAATATATGGCTCTCCTCTCCACCCCAATCAGCTGCCCAGTGTAGAAAGGGAGAGGGAGGCTGCCAGTAAAACTAAAGATGTTGAGCGGCGACTGTGGATCAAGGAGTAGGGTGCCAGCCCCATATACTGGAGGTGGTGGGTTCAAACTCAGCCCGGGGCCAAAAACTGCAAAAAACAAAACAAAAACCTAAAGATGGACGGCACCTGTGGCTCAAAGGAGTAAGGTGCTGGCCCTATATGCTGGAGGTGGCAGGTTCAAACCCAGTCCGGGCCAAAAACTGAAAAAAAAAAAAAAAAAAACCTAAAGATGTTCACATGCCCAAGACCAGTCCAGTAGGGCCTCTAGAGAGTGGCCAGTCTCAGGCCAATTAAACTTTCCTGCCCCACCTCTGAATCCACTGGCAATCTGAAGATCACAGAACTACTTAAGAGAGAAAATACCACCCTCAGGGCAAGACAAGCTTTGGGCAAGGCATATTAGCTGCATCCCTGTATTATTCATGTCAGCTCTGATGGCAGAAATCTTCTAAATATTTAACACGCCACCTCAAGGTACAGTGTAAACCCCAAGCAAACCCCCAGCCGTCAAGGACAGCTATAGACAAGGCTTCATGGAATGACTTGGGGGCTGAGAGGAGCAGACCCTGGCTTCGGGGGGGAAAACCCAGAACCACAATGCTGAGATGACTACAGAAGGCTACCCCTGACCGCTTCTTTGAAAATCAGTAACGAAGTGAAGGAGACAAGAGGTGTTTCAAAACATGAGGGGCGATCATGCACAATCATGGGAGTCAGAGCCTCTCTTTCTCAAACAAAGAAAAAGCCTGAGGTACCCCTCACCCCATACCCATTTCAGTCCCAGCTCCCCTGGGCAGGTGGTGAGGATGGCTAGGGAAGAAACAGAGAATGGAACAGCCATGACTATCTCCAAAGGTGAATAAATCCACCAGGGAAGCTTTTCAAATGCCTATGAGTCCTGGGGCTTGAAAAGGAAAAACACCCCTCAGGCCTAACCCCAATTACTTCACACAGACCTCACCCCAGATGACTCTGCGCTCTCCCGCAAGGTCTGGGAGGTGTCATCGCCACCATCCTGGGAGCTATCGGTCACTTGGAAATTTCCCGTGCATTCCTGGAGATGCCTGTCCCTGTCTCTCACCACCCCTGCAAAAAGAATCAAACCTGGAGGACATTAGGCGTCAACTCCAAGATTCTCCTACTTTCCACCGTGTCTACATGTGGCACCTTAAAAGGAGTATTTTCTTTTTTAACCCAATTGGGAGCTCCGCCTCTCCCCA